TCCCGGAATCCTTTAATGAGTGGTTTATTTTCTACATTTTAGCGCCATTGCCTCACAGTGCAGTCACTGCATACTTAGTTCGAAATAAGCTATTGTGTTCAATGGTGCTTAATCTCTGATAAACGTATTTAGAATTGCTATTTAAATGAATATAACAGGCTTGTCAAATCACTGATGCCTTTATTACTAGTATGAAGTAATGGATTGTAGGAGGAGGGTCTTTCATACCAAATAGAACAGTTAGGTACCCGAATCAAGTTACAAAATAAATATTTATTTTATCTCTATATTATTATTAACAATAGAAGATCTGCAAATAGCTCAAGATTAAGTTGATGATTCTCTTTTTCTGCCCATACTAATGTTTATCATATGACCTAATACATTAGTCAAGGTACATGATGGTCTTTTCTTGAAAAGCACAGTTGTAGTTTAGCAGCTGCCAACCAGAAGAACTCTTACAATTCTTAATTCCAAATTAAGAAAAAAACCAAATATTAAATTCTCTTCATTAATTCTTGCCAAGCTATAGTTCACCAGCCATTTATAGTAGCAAGACGAGTGCTTACCCACTTTTTTGGGTTTACCAAAATGGCAACAAAAACAACAAAAGGAGTATATCTTTCTCCTGGTAGACCTCAGGTTTCTGCTGTGTAAGAACTCCCAAAATTGTAGAACATGGAATCATATGCTTGGAAGAGATCTCAGAGGCCCAGCTCCTTGCTCAGTGGTTATATACCATACTGATCAAATGGTTGTCCAGTCTATTTTTGAAAACCTCAAGTGATAGAACATCCACAACCCCAGAAGGCAAGTTATTCCATTGTTTAATTGTTCTCACTGTCAGAAAATTTCTCCTTGCTTCTAGGCGAGACCTCTCTGCCAATAAATACAGGAACAGAGAGTTTTTGTAGTTTTGGTTGTTGGTTGGTTACATCAGTTTTTAAGGATGAGAATGTGAGCAGAAAGCCTCCAAGGGGCTTATTGCTCATTTCTACTTTTAAAAAGTCATTAAACTAAGCTTGGTACAATTTCAGGCTGTTTCTGAGGCCTGAGGAGTTTAAATGGCAGAAAATGGAAGCATTGTGCTTTCTGTGCTTATGGGAAGGGGAGTGGGAGTAGAAATTGTGCAGCTGAACTATTTTGCCATTAAATTTTAGTTGGATACACTGGTAGTCCTTGACTTACGACCACAATCGAACCCAAAATTTCTTTTGCTAAGTGCGATGGTTGTTAAGTGAGGCTTGCCCCATTTTATGACCTTTTTTGCCAAAGTTGTTAAGTGAATCACAGCAATTGTTAAGTTAGTAACACAGTTGTTAAGTAAATCTGGCTTCCCCATTGACTTGGCTTGTCAGAAAGTCGCAAAAGATTATCACATGACCCTGGGACACTGCAACAGTTGTAAGTGTGAAAAATGATCATAAGTTTCACTGCTGTTGTAACTTTGAATAGTCACTAAGTGAACTGTTGTGAGGACTACCTTGTAATCTAAGGGTACTGGGGACTGCAGGTTTTTCATCCTTGGCTTATCAGTTGCAGAAATGAATTTAACCATATTTTATAGTTCAAATAATGTCTGGTTGATTTCCTAGTAAGAGTAAAGGGTGTTGGCTTTGGTTACTTGGACTTAATTTATCAATGTTTATTACTGTTAGAATGAACAAATGGTTAGTGTACCAGTAGGGTGAGTTTAAAAAAAGATGTTTTTGTCAGTTAAGAATCTTCAGAGATAAAATATATTTTAACGCAAGTGGTAACAATATAGCTCAAAAGAGGTACAAAATATAGCTCAAAAGAGGTACAAAATATTAATTGACATTAATAAAAATGTTTGATATGCTTAGACTTTTGCTACTAAGTATTTTGCTATTATTTATTAATAGTCATCTGTTTTGTTGAGAATTCATTCTGTATTTATAATTTTATTTTTAGTATATTAATATCTTAACAAAGCTAGGCCCAAGCAGATCATGGCATAACTAAATAATAATTCAGAAACATACATAACATTTGTGTATGGTTATAGTGAGTTATACCTACTAAAATTTCAGAAAGGAATAGTTTTTAAAATGTATTATGCAACGAATTATTTGAGTAGGGTTCCAAATTAGGATTCTGAGAAACTAACCCAAAAGAAAAGTCACATAAAATAGGGGAAATTTTCTTCTCCTAACACCAACATCCCAATGTACAAAAGTTGCAAAATAGTTTTCTTTGCCACATGGATTTTCAAAATAAAAAGGAGACTATTATGATAGAGTCCACGTCTTTAAGCATTCAGAGATTGTTGTATAAATTGTGGTTTTTAGCTTTGGAGATGAATAGCTTTCTTTTGTTTCATTTGGATGGCTAAGGTTTTTTAATATGATCAAAAATAGATAACAGTATTAAAGCATATGAGGCAACTTGCTACAACATATTATTTGTCCCCATTCCAGAAATGGAACTAATGAGGGATTTCCTAACTTAGAAATTAATATTCACCTTTCTTAAAGTTTTTAGAGAAAAGCTTGTGATTTCTTGACATTTTGAATGGATAGCTGGGACAATGCTATTTTTTCTGTTTGCAAAAAGAATGTAAAAGTTCTAGAATTCTTGATTTTTATTTTTACAAATGAATTGTACTACCCAATGTGTGATTTACCAGAAACGCGCAAACCAGTATTTGCTAAAATATGTCCTATGACTTGTATTATTTTTCTATTAAAGTCAATCAGTGCTGACAGACTTCCAGTTGTAGTGGTGTTTTAGGCTGTTACCACAAAATGCTGCTTTCTTGTCATTATTGTTTGTTTCCTAAATATCACTATGCTGTGTGCTGTTTTGATATTTGTATTTTGAGGCTTTCTAGTATTAAAGCAGTGGAATAATGATCAGTGTTTTGCTATACAAACACAGCCTATGCCCTATGCTGTGCATGAGCATTGTTTTTTGAACACTGGAAATAACTATGCAAAAATATTTTATTAAAGAGACACACAGAGAATACCTTTATGATGTGTGATTTCTTTTCAGCACAGTTAACCATTCTCAGGTTTGATGATACATTTCCATAAATTATTCATTTGTGTTGTTCCTTCATTATATAACCAACCAATCATTCAAATCTTCTGGAAGATGATCACATAGCTAAACTATACTTTAATCAATAGTTGGTGTGTGATAGAGGAGAAGTCATTCCTAACATCAATTTAAACATGTTCATTCAGCACAGGATTTCATTTCTCATCAAAAGAGAATTCCCAGAATGTAAGAAGGAAGTTATTATTATTAAACTGGGATCAAACTTGTAAAAATTGATCTCTAAACAAAATCAAGACTAGTTTTAAATTTAAGATATAAACATATATCTCTGCAAAGCCAAGTCTTTTAACACAGTATGCATTGCTGATTTTTGCTTTCCTAGCAGATGGTACAGATTGTCAACTTCCTTCTTAAATTGTTTCATTTCTCACTTCTAAGTGCTACTTTCTCAAGTAATCATGTTATTAGGGAGACCAGTGGCATAGGTTACAAGGACCTGCCCACATCCTTTTGCCCATTTGTTAATTCACAGAGATTTCTCTACTCACTTGGATTGATGGTGGTATTCCATAATTCTCAGCCAGACAGTCTAATGTTGTGGCTAATGATGCTGTTGTGGAATTCTATGGTTAAAGAAATACCTGTTTTAAAGGTCTTTATGGTTACTTAAAAAAAAAAAGCTTAGGAAATAATCTAAACCTTTAAATTGCTCAGCAAAATTAACATTACATTTTCTCCTGGATTTAGAATGGGTAGGTTTGAATTCACGCTTTACCACGAAGCTCACTGTCTGACCCTAATTCACCTGAATTTCTCATAGCTTTGTTGTGAATATAAAAGTGGGGGAGAACCATGTAAGCTGGTATTTTTCATCTCTCTCTCACACACACACACAGAGAGAGAGAGAGAAAGAGAAAGAGACAGAGAGAGAGAATCCTCAACTTATGACTACAATTGAGCCCAGAATTTATGTTGCCAAGTGAGAAATTTGTTAATTGAATTTTGTCCCGTTTTACGACTTTTCATGCCACATTTGTTCAGTGAATCACTGCAGTTACTAAGTTAGTAACCTGGTTGCTAAGTGAATCTGGCTTCCCCACTGACTTTGCTTGTCGGAAGGTTGCAAAAGGTGATCACATGAACCTGGGACACTGCAATTGTCATAAAGTTGAACCAGTTGCCAAGCAACTGAATTTTGATCACATGATCATGGGGATCATAGGAATGGGTGTAACTGTGAAAAAAGGTCATAAGTCATTTTTTTTTCATTGATTTGTATGCGTGTACAATAGACAGAGAGAGAGAGAGAGAGATCCTGTATATCTATTCATCTATAGATATATAGATGTATATCCTTTATCCAGTACAGACCATCATTGTTTTTTTCTGGCATATTTTTCTGATATTTTTGTATTTGATGAGCCTCCGTATTGGCATAAAACTGCCATTAATCACTTCTAAGAATTTGTAATTGTAATTTTTGAGGTTTTTTTAGATAAAATTCTAGAATATTATAATTTTTTTTAAAAAAATTGATTTTTTGAATATACGATTTATATTGCTTCAGATACATTATTTAAATTAAAAAAAATTAGGGGGAGGGGAGAGAAACCTTTTGCAGGCCAAGGGAAGCAAGAGTCAGCCGCTGGTGCCAAGTTTCTAAGTCAGTGATGTTGGATAGAACAGAATATACTACAAACATAAAATTGTGATGTAACATGGACAGCTCAGAAGCAGACCATAAAATAAACTTAGGAAAACTCCTAATTATGAAAACTCGAAATTATACCCTTGATGAGAACCATGCAGACATCAGAAAGTGTGTGTGTGTATGTGTTTTGCGTGCTCTATACACCTGTATCAGAGTCAGTTTTGGGTTTTTTTATTCATTAAAAGAGTCACTGAGAATTTTCATTGCCTATGTGGTATTGAACAAATAAGCTCAAAATGATTAAGAATGCTTAATTTTATAGGGTGTGCTGATCTCCAGAGTCTTGACACAATGCAACCCACGGAAAGGAAGAAGCAGGGTTATATACATGAGTTGATCCAGACAGAAGAAAAATACATGGATGACCTTCAACTTGTCTTGGAGGTAAGATCTGCTTGGAAAGAAAAGTTGTGACTGTATAAAAATGTTTTCATTGCTTTTAATTAAATTGGAAGGTCTGGTGAGAACTGACCACCCAGTATAAATAAAACAGCATGCATACCTCATTCAGTGCTGTACTGTAAGAATCATTGGCCCTGAGGATTTCCATACTTTATACAGTAAAAACACATATTAATCTTTTGAATATGCAGTGTAATACTTTGTTTGGCTTTCAGACAAATCAACCATCAACGAATACATAGATAACAAACCACATTTACACACCATTCAAAAGAGACAATAAAAAGGTAAGAAGGAAAAAAAGACCATAATGCATCCTCCAGCCAACACTCAGATAAGCAGGCAATCAATCTAGCAGAAAACAATAGTCTAAACAAAGAACTATCAAGAAGAAAGCCAAACTCCCTGCATCACTGGCAGGACAAACTACTATATATAAACAGGGAGCAAAACCACACTTACTAGCCTTGATGATGTTACTTAGTCTGGTAATGAAACATCTGCAAATACCAAGTCAAAGAGCACCAAGGACTCCAGAGAGAATTATCTCTTGTTCAAAATGTGATTGTTTTAGTTATCATATGATGTCTCCTTTGAAATCATTGGAATGATTTAAATAAATATTGAAAACAAGACATTAAATGACTGGCATAAACAATCTAATACATATCGATTTTACAGAAGTCAATGTTGGAAAAGCACTATGCAATCTAAAACCATCTTTATCTATTGGACCGGACGGAGTTTGTGCCTACTTCTTAAAAAAGCTATCCACTGCCATAGCCGAACCTCTAAGCATAATCTTTGAAAAATCTTTCAGGACCAGCTCCTTGCCAAATCTATGGTCACTAGCCACAGTCATTCCCATCTTCAAAAAGGGAGACCCCAGCCTAGTTGAAAATTACAGACCAATCTCCTTATGCTGCGTCACCTGTAAAGTCATGGAATCAATTATTATCCAATCCATTATCCTCCACTTAGAGACAAACAACCTACTCTCTAACAAACAGTTTGGTTTCAGAAGGAAACTGTCCTGTAACCTGTAACTCTTGCACTGTAAAAACATATGGACTACACAACTTGATCAGGGCAAAGCAATTGACGCAATTTACAAGCCTTTGATTCAGCAGTACACGACAAACTACTCCTAAAACTAAGGTCTTATGGTATCTCTGGACACCTGCATAACTGGATAGAAGCATTTCTGTCAAACAGGCAACAAATGGTCAAAATTGGGAGCATCCTATCAAATCCTGTACCTGTCAACAGTGGGGTCCCCCAAGGCAGTGTTCTAGGGCCAACTCTCTTCATACTCTATATTAATGACCTCTGTGATTATATTAAGAACAACTGTGTTCTTTTCTCTGACGATGTAAAGCTATTCAACATCACTGACAATGCTGCTACCCTTCAAAAAGACCTCGACTATGTATCAGAATGGTCAAACAAATGGCAACTTCAAATCTCAACAAATAAATGCTCTATCTTACATATTGGTAAAAAAAATTCAAAAACTAAAATACAACCTGAATAGTCAAGATCTTGTTGATGACAAAAACTTCGTCAAGAACCTTGGAGTACTCATCTCAAAAGATCTAAGTGCTAGAGCCCACTGTAAAACTACATAGCCAAAAAGGCATTAAGAGTTGTTAACCTAATCCTGCATAGCTTTTTCTCCGGTAATATCACTCTACTAACTAGAGCATATAAAACATTTGCTAGACCAATACTTGAATACAGCTCATCAGTCTGGAACCCGCATTACATATCTGATATTAATACAATTGAGAAAGTCCAGAAATATTTCACAAGAAGAGTTCTCCACTCCTCTACTCGTAGCAGAATACCTTATGCCACCAGACTTGAAATTTTAGACCTAGACAACCTAGAACTATGCCGCCTTCGGTTCGATCTAAGTATAGTATATAAAATTATATATTGCAATGTCCTATCTCTCAATGAATACTTGAGGTTCAACCATAACAATACAAGAGCACAAAATAGATACAAAGTAAAGATAAACCGCACCATACTTGATTGCAGAAAATACGACTTCAGCAACAGAGTGGTCAATGTTTGGAATACTCTACCTGACTCTGTAGTTTCTTCCCCAAACCCCAAAATCTTCAACATTAGACTGTCTACTATTGACCTCACCCCTTTCCTAAGAGGTATGTAGGGGGTGTGCATAAGCGCACCAAAATGTGCCTACCGTCACTGTCTTATTGTTTCTTTTTTTTCTTATTCGTATCCATTTCATGTATTTATAACCATGTTTATACTTATACCTGTTATCTAATAATTGTTTGACTAAATAAATAAATAAACTATCAAATGGTATATGGATTTTAAAAACAAGGCAAGGATTAAATTCAACATTATATATGAAATGAAAGGAAAACTGGCAACTCCAAACTTTAATTTTATTATCAAGATAGTTGCCTAAGGAAGATTACAGACTGAACTGTAACTTGTTATGGGCTAGACATCTCTGTGGAGGAAGCTGGACTTTTAGATGGCATGCACAAATATATCTGAATTGATTGAAATAGAAACAAGCAGTTTACAAGAAATAATAAAGAGCAACACAGTGTTTGAGATAAATACAAAAAAAAAAAAAGAATTCTTCCATATTTTTATTATCTTTATTATACTTTGTTTATTTTTATGAAAAGGAAAGCAGAAAGAAAGCACAGAGGAAAGAAATCATTTATATAACTAAAGATTTTATTAATAAGACAGTTTCTTAATACTTTTATTTTTATAACGACCTCTTCTTCCACATTGATTTTAATATTGCAAATGAATTATATTGTACACTGCTCAAAAAAATAAAGGGAACACTTACACAACACAATGTAACTCCAAGTCAATCACACTTCTGTGAAATCAAACTGTCCACTTAGGTAGCAACACTGATTGACAATCAATTTCACATGCTATTGTGCAAATGGAATAGACAACAGGTGGAAAGCATAGGCAGGTAGCAAGACATCCCCAATAAAGGAGTGGTTCTGCAGGTGGTGACCACAGACCACTTCTCAGTTCCTATGCTTTTTGGCTGATGGTTTGGTCACTTTTGAATGCTGGCAGTGCTGTCACTCTAGTGGTAGCATGAGATGGAGTCTACAACCCACACAAGTGGCTCAGGTAGTGCAGCTCATCCAGGATGGCACATCAATGCGAGCTGTGGCAAGAAGGTTTGCTGTGTCTGTCAGCGTTGTGTCCAGAGCATGGAGGCACTACCAGGAGACAGGTCAGTACATCAGGAGACGTGGAGGAGGCCGTAGGAGGCAACAACCCAGCATCAGGACTTCTACCTCCGCCTTTGTGCAAGGAGGGACAGGAGGTGCAGGGCCAGAGCCCTGCAAAATGACCTCCAGCAGGCCACAAATGTGCATGTGGCTGCTCAAAACGTCAGAAACAGACTCCATGAGGGTGGTATGAAGGCCTGACGTCCACAGGTGGGGGTTGTGCTTACAGCCCAACACCGTGCAGGACGTTTGGCATTTGCCAGAGAACACCAAGATTGGCACATTCACCACTGGCGCCCTGTGATCTTCACACATGAAAGCAGGTTCACACTGAGCACATGTGACAGACGTGACAGGGTCTGGAGATGCTGTGGAGAATGTTCTACTGCCTGCAACATCCTCCAGCATGACTGGTTTGGCAGTGGGTCAGTAATGGTGTGGGGTGGCATTTCTTTAGGGGGCCGCACAGCCCTCCATGTGCTCACCAGAGGTAGCCTGACTGCCATCAGGTACCGAGATAGAATCCTCAGACCCCTTGTGAGACCATATGCTGGTGCGGTTGGCCCTGGATTCCTCCGAATGCAAGACAATGCTAGACCTCATGTGGCTGGAGTGTGTCAGCAGTTCCTGAAAGACGAAGGCATTGATGCTATCAACTGGCCCTCCCGTTCCCCAGACCTGAATCCAATTGAGCACATCTGGGACATCATGTCTCGCTCCATCCACCAACACCACGTTGCACCACAGACTGTCCAAGAGTTGAGAGATGCTTTAGTCCAGGTGTGGGATGAGATCCCTCAGGAGACCATCCACCACCTCATCAGGAGCATGCCCAGGCGTTGTCGGGAGGTCATACAGGCATGTGGAGGCCACACACACTACTGAGCCTCATTTTGACTTGTTTTAAGGACATTACATCAAAGTTGGATCAGCCTGTAGTGTTTTTTTCCACTTTAATTTTGAGTGTAACTCCAAATCCAGACCTCCATGGGTTGCTAAATTTGATTTCCATTGATAATTTTTGTGTGAGTTTGTTGTCAGAACATTCAAGTATGTAATGAACAAAGTATTTAATAAGAATATTTCATTCATTAAGATCTAGGATGTCTTATTTTTGTGTTCCCTTTATTTTTTTTGAGCAATGTATTAAAAAGAACTGCAGAAACAAAAGGAATACTTAGAGATTTGATTAAATTTGAAAGCCTTACAATATGAAATTTGAAACAATGCTGTGTCTTTAGATGATTGATGAAATATGACTCAGAAATTGGACAAGTTAAAGACTACAATTATATGAATGCAAAATTAGCTATAATGATAGATATGCAAGAAAGGGAATTTCAGTGGAAGGAGGATCAAATTTATATACCACACTTGGAGAAAATTAATGTAATGTATTTTATTTGCTGGCATATTACTATAGGTCTGATTGCTAAAATGTATAATTTATTTTCTGAATACTGTTGGAATTATAATAATTCCGTCAGATCAAGGAAGAATATTTGATCCCCTTGGTAGAAGAATGGCTAAAATCAGTTCATCTTCCACAGGAAAAATATACAGATTTGAAAGAATCATTTTTTTTTCATCAGGTGAAATGGAAAATGGAGTTCCAGAATTTCCAGAAAGGAGTTTAGTATCTATTATCACAGTGTTACAGGAGAGAAAGAATCTGCAGTTGTGTTTTTTTCCTCAAAAATTGATAAACTGAAGAGCAAGACGACAATCCTCTTTGCATCTGATTACTCTAATTCAACAATGTCAAATATTTTGGAAAAAAAAATTATCAGACAAACAGCTTGAGTGCACTAGAAAGAATAAATAAAATATTTCATAAATTATTACTTATTGAGCCAATTGTGATTTGAGTCACAACTATCATTAATATTGTTCTTCCTCTCTGTAGGTTTTCCAGAAACAAATGATTGAAGCAGGCTGTCTCACGGAACCCGAAATGGGATTAATCTTCGTCAACTGGAAAGAGCTCATATTGTGTAATACAAAGTTATTGAAGTAAGTACTACTACTGTTTTGGTAATTTTTGTCCTGCTAAATGCCTCAACCCAAAACAGCAATCATATCATTAAGTTAATCCCTATCCACCCCTATATTGTTGAATGGAGGCACAAGTTATCTATGCGTACCTCTTGCCTCAGTTTTTAAATTTTCTCCAAAATATAAAGAGCATATATCTCTGCTTTCTTCCTTAATGTTATTCTGTTTTGTTTTTTTTCTGCCATCTATTGCCTGATCTGATACGAGTTTGAAGGGAGAAGGTTCTTAGTTTGGCATTCACAGTCTTATTTCATTGCAGTTCCAGGATTCCACTTACTGGACCCTCCTTTTGATCGCCTCTGCTCACTCTTTTCCATTATTTGAAAGGTCCTAAACTAGGAAGAGATGATTATTATATGTAGGGTAAACTACAACCTGTGCACCTAATGAGACAGTGGGAATTCCAGGGTGCTCATAGATACCTCCTTTGGCACATTCCAGGCTTCATGCCCTGATTTTCTCTTTCTGATTTAGATTTTTTTTTTTAAATAAAATAAGTGTGTGAGCCTCAAGCATAATTTTCTAAGAATTTTTCTGGGACTCGCACAGATTCCAGAGGCATTATTATAAGATAAAAATGACAGAGGACTATAATCCAATGTTTTGTTTGGACATTAAGATGAGTCATTGACATCTAATGCTAAGTTTATATTTGTAATTTGCTTTTGGGCCTTTTGGTTGTAAATTAGATGGACTGAGTGATGGGATTGATTGTCAGTGTTCCTCTTGCTAAATAAAAGCTTTGTATCTTGTCAAGCCCACCAAGACAGCCATTTTGCAAAGTATTCAAATTCCAAGTTGGCAAGTTCTGAGAGACCGCATTTTTATCTATTTGGTGTGCCTGCCAGATCCACATCCCTCCTATTTCCCACAGTGTCTTGTGAAACAGAAAGCCTTGTTTGCAAGGCCTTTTATAGCTTCATCTTTCTGGAATTTCTGGAATCAATCTGTTTTCCCATGGATTTTTTTTTTTCCCAGAGCCCTTCGGGTACGTAAGAAGACTGGGGGAGAAAAGATGCCAGTACAGATGATTGGTGACATCTTGGCTGCTCAGTTATCCCATATGCAAGCCTATATTCGATTCTGCAGCTGCCAGCTTAATGGAGCTGCCTTGTTACAGCAAAAAACAGATGAAGAGCCAGAGTTCAAAGAATTTTTGAAAGTAGGCTATTATTCAGTAACTCTTCACTATCTTTCCTTTCCCCTTGGGTTGCCTGTGCAAGTGTAACAGTAACTTTTTCTACTTGAAGAATAGAAGCAAGCCTTGACTCCCTCTCCAAAAAGCAAAGATGCCCCTTCTGACAGTTACAAGAGCATGTAAAACTTCTTGTAGTGGTATATTTTAAATTACTCTGATATCCATTAATTTGACTCAAGCCATTTTTTTTCACTGTAAAAATGTAGAGCTGTTAGCAGTTTGACAAGCATGGTGCATAGTGATTAGTGGAAGGGTTGAAAGGGCAAAATTTGTAAGTACATGTTGATGCATGTACAAACACCTGCCATGTTACAGGTTTGACCTATACAAGTAACCTGTGGATGGTGCTAAGATGATGACATGATTTAGATCAATAAACAGTTATCTGCCTGCCTTCTTTCAATATTTCCTTTATAAAAAAAGTACTTAGCACATTGAAGGAAATATTAAATTAACTGAGACACCTTCAGTTAGGTTACATTATTTCGTTATGTAGTTTTATTCTGTGCATTTGCAGCTTTTGTCATTCTAGGAACCAATTGACATGATTCCCAGTCTTATCCTATTATTTTATCTTTTTGTATGCATACGTCTGCTGGGGGAAATCATGCAGTTTCTGAATTATGAAAGCCCTTTGATACATTTAAAATGAAAAACCTCAATATTAGGTAACTATTAAGGCTGGTATTTTGCCCAACTCTCAGATTTCATGAAAAGCAGCTTTATTGTAGTTTTCAAAAGTTAAGATATTGTCTTCTGTAAAATAGAGGCACAAGCGGCTATGAAACATAGAAAATCTATTTATTTATTTTTATTTTTATTTATTTGATTTGCCAATTGTTTACAAGATAATAAGTATAAGTGTATACATAGTTGTGAATACATGAAATGGGTACATATAAGAAAAATAAAAGAAGAATAAGAAACAATAGGACAGGGACGGTAGGCACGTTGGTGCGCTTATGCACGCCCCTTAAAATCAACTGTTATAAACTTTTCAGAAGCTAGAGATGTTCTATATTTCTATAAAAATGTATGTTTTTGTTTCAAATTTGTTTAAATTTGTAGAAATTGGCCTCAGATTCCCGCTGTAAAGGCATGCCCCTCTCCAGCTTTCTCTTGAAACCAATGCAGAGAATTACTCGCTACCCTCTGCTCATCAAGAGTGTGAGTACCTGGTTGCTCTTTTCCTGAATCTCTGAATAAGTTGCCTCTTGTAGAAGGGGGAGTACAGCACGGCAAATATATTTATGGAAATATAAGAATGGGTTGTTTTTTTTCTCAATATTGCCTTTTACTTAAACCATGACTTAATTTGTCTTTTTCTGCAACCAGATTCTGGAGAATACCCCCGAAACTCACCCCGATCACAATAATCTGAAGCAGGCTCTTGAGCGTGCTGAAGAATTGTGTTCCCAGGTGAATGAGGGGGTGCGTGAGAAGGAGAATTCAGACAGACTTGAATGGATACAGTCCCATGTCCAATGCGAAGGACTTGTTGAGGTAATTGGGGCTCAGTGTCAAGAGATCCAACTCAAATGTGCTATTGCATAGTTCCTATGGCATGGAAGAAATGCTAGTCAACACCTCGTAAATCCTTAGATATAGTATCTGAATTACACACCTAATACATTCATCCATGCATTATATAGGCAATGTATATACAAGAATTTACCAGATATACGAGAATTTTTTTTTTTTTTAAAGGAAATGACACTGATTTAATGAACTCTTGGAACAACTACGTCACAATGGCAATGAAAGAAATACTGGAGCCATGTACTGCCCCAGGATACGCAAGCTCCATAATAATGCTTTCTGCAAATAGTTATCCATTCTGAGACATTGATTTGTTTCTAGATGAATGAGAAGCATGCCTTTTAAGAAAATTAAAAGAAATGACTTCTCTTAGTACAAAACCCCAAGGCTACAGAAAGATGTTTTACATCTTCTAAAATAATTAGTTCAAGTTCCAGAAATGTTCAGAGGGATGTTGTATCATACCTTTATAAGCCTGTCAGAACACAAAAGCAAAATTCAAAGCCTATTAAAAGCCTTTCATAGATACTAAATATGTAAAAATGTAATATTCCAAATTGAGAAAATTGAATCATTTGCTAGGACTAATTATAATAAGACATGATATCAGCAGCATGGGGTTTTTTATATATTTTTTTAAATTTTTTAAGACAAACATACAGACAAAACATAAAAAACATAAAACCATCTTCCAGTTATATACATACAGTGTGTCAGTTGGTTACAAATCTTTTGTGCTATCCTTTCATAGTCCTTACTCATAGGTTGTATAGATTCTCACGTTGTCAATCTAACATATGGTTATATATTTATCAGTTATTAATCATTCATTTGACTAAACTATTATTCCATCATTTTATATGAGATATTCTAGATTTTATTATACATTTATATTATGCATTTGTCCAATGGTTATATATTTTTATATAATGTTCTATATCAATCTATTAGTCTTCTATTATAAAATTTCCTAGTCTACTTCTTTGTCTTTTTATCTAACCGTTGATAAAATAAGTCCCATATCATATAAAATTGTTTATCTTCTTGTTCTCTAATTTCAAAGCAAAATGGTTTTTAAGTGGAATAATTTATATGGTGAAGAAAATCAGTGTGCTTTGCATCATTTTTTTTCTCTCCCAGCAACTGGTTTTCAACTCACTGACCAACTGTTTGGGACCACGGAAACTTCTGCACAGCGGCAAGCTTTATAAGACAAAGAGCAACAAAGAACTCTATGGTTTTCTCTTCAATGACTTCCTCCTTCTCACCTACATGGTGAAGCAGTTCGTCTCTACAGGATCAGAGAAACTGTTCAGTCCCAAATCAAATTCCCAGTTTAAAATGTACAAAGTGGTGAGTGAATTCAAGTTATCTCAACTGGGAGGAAATTGGATTTCTAGGAATAGAAATACATTGTTCTTTAACCTGTAATTTTCTTCTTCCAATATGCATCTTGTGTTAATTGTATCATGACACCTTCTAATTAGCAATAATAGTTTTGAATTTACTAACCAAAAGTCAGATTGTAGATAAAGTCATTATCTGTATCAATGGGACTTATTTTTTCTAAACTGCCTAAACATTGGTTAGAGGCACAATGCAACCTATTTGTGGGCTTTTTTTTAAGAACAAGGTTGCTCTATTCAATATCATTATTTAGCCTAATTTCAGCAGCATACTTATTTTATTTATTTTATTTTTTTATTTGTCAATTGCTTACAAGATAATAGGTATAAGTAAAAACATAGTTATGAATACATAGATACATATAAGAAAAATAAAAAAATATAAAAGAAACAATAGGACAGGGATGGTAGGCACGTTGGTGCGCTTAACACTTTTCTTTCCTTCATAAGAAAAGCTAAAGAGCCATACCAGTTATGGAAGTCTTGCTGAGTTTTATTTTTATGTTGTTAAATTTATTTTTATGCATTCAAATTTGGGTTTCTAACGGCATGTTTTTTCTTGGCTATGAGCACATGGATGCTGTGTGCTGTGGCTATTCAACTGTGTCAAGCTTTCTGGAGAAGCCTATCCCTTTGGCTCATCTAAATATGAAAGTCATCATTCCTTGCAAGAGATGAAACAACAAATATATACTTGGGAAGGAGTTCCAAGAGAATACTTGATGTGAAGATTAAACTTATTCTCCTTGCTTAAGATGTATAGAGCTACATTCAACACTTTTATTTTTAAACAAAATAAAACGTAATTTATGGGCACAATAGGTTCTTCAGAAAGAATGCCAGATTTAAAAAGAAAATAATAAGTGAAGTGATTATGGTTATCAAATTCCTTCAACTTGTTTTTTTTTTTAAAGAAAAGGTTGATGCACTGAATTAAATGTTATTTGCATGAATAGTTGGCTTCTTTCAAAATCATTCCTAATTTCAGATACAAACTTTTATTCAAAACAAGCCTCTTCAGATTAGCAAGTTTTTCAATCCCTTTTTGCTAATCAGCCTGTCACTTTTTGCTGAAATGTTTGAACTAACTGAATCAAAATCTGTTTCTTCCAGCCTATTTTTCTTAATGAAGTCCTAGTGAAATTGCCAACTGACCCTTCTAGTGATGAGCCAATTTTCCACATCTCCCATATTGACCGAGTCTACACACTGAAAACAGACAATATAAATGAAAGGTGAGCCTCCAAATTCATGTCTAAAAAAAGGAATGAAACATTTTCTGAATTTCTTTCCCATGAAATGTCAAAATGTATGCTGTTGTCTTTTTTGTTTTTATGCTTGTTCCTGGATTCTTTGACTGTAGTAAAACTTTTATTTGTATCCAAAAGGCATGATAAAACAATTGAAAACAAATTGTTCAAACACAAGGGTGTATCACAAATTGGCTGCATACTTTGACTTTGTATTTTAATACTTAACAAATAGATTGGTAATTTCACGAATTGCAGAAATTCCAGGATTCATTTTCTCTTTAACCAAATATAATGAAAGTAAAGAGAATACTAATTACCTTAAGGGAAACTGGCATACAAAATCCCTTAAATAGTCTGTTGCAGCTTTAACATTCTATAATAAATGATACTGAGAATAGAGAAATTTGCTCTATTTTGTTATATGGCCACAAACATATTGATCAGTACATCTATATATCTACTACATATTTCATATTTAAAATTTCTTATATGTTGTATGTTTTCAGGAGTCAATAATTAGAAATGAAATTAGAATGTAACATTCACAAATTTGTGTTCAGATGAAGTCAAATCTCTTATGTTATTTTTGTTATGAACAGAACAGAATAGAATAGAATAGAATAGAATAGAATAGAATAGAATAGAATAGAATAGAATAGCTTTATTGGCCACATGTGATTAGACTCACAAGGAATTTGTCTATATTATTATCCTTTAACAAAATTATTTATTCTTGTAGGACTGCCTGGGTCCAGAAAATTAAAGGCGCCTCAGAACAATATATTGAAACTGAAAAAAAGAAACATGAAAAGGCTTACCAAGGTGCTGATCTGCGACTGACTGCAACTTTTAGTAGCAGCTATTTTTGTGTTTTTGTGAGATTGGAAGGATTTGGCATGTATGTCAAGTGATATATTTTATTAGCCAGATGACATTTTCAAAAATTCTAAGAGAACAGGATTCATAAAGATACTTTGGGTTTTAAAATAAGTTGAATAGTACCATCTCTAAAGATATACTAGATTCCTTTTTATTTAGGTGTAGATGTGTTAACAGAAAAACACTGACTGATCCGTATAAATACCAATAGACAACCTGGTTGCTGTAGTACCTAGTATTCATGAAACAATCCCAGAACAAATTGATCCACTTGCAAACTGCAGAAATAGCTTTTGTGCAAATCTGCCAATAGATAGTATGTTCTGAAATCTTTTTTTCACATCTCATTTTTATTTCTTTTTCAGCTCGATCACAAAAAAGTTCAGGAATAGGACGCTTGATGGTGCATGTGATTGAAGCAACAGAATTAAAAGCCTGTAAACCTAATGGTAATAATTTAGGGATGGATTGTCAACTATCTGACCATATAGTTTAAACTAATTTGCTGTTAGAAGTAGAGGTTGCCAAGCATGTATTTCCAGAATACAATATGCAGCCTTGCAGGGGAGATCTTTTTTCCTGCGTAGTATGGTGAAGATATGAATAAATACTGTGTTTCCCTGAAAATAAGACCCACCCCAAAAATAAGCCCTAGCCTGACTTTTTGGGGGGTGGACCTAATATAAGCCGTATCCCAAAAATAAGGCCGGGCGGGGGATGGACGTGGCCAGCATGACAGGTGGCGAGCGTGCAGGGGCTGATGGTATCCAGCCTGCCGGCCCCTTGGCACAGCACAAATACCGTTAAGTCTGAGCATGGACGCAGAGGCGGGGGATAGAGAAGACAGGCGATCTGGACTGTGCAGCTGCCCGACTCATGGGAGGCTTGTGGGAGACTCGCACAGCAGCAGCGGGCGGAGGCAGAAGCATGGGGATTGGGGGAGGCAGTGATCCTGACACCCTGTGGGGGTATTTGGTCGGCGCGGCCGCAGGCAAGCCCAAGACACAGTGGGACAGAGTGGGTAGCACATTGGAATTGCCTCTGCCTGGCTCTCCTGCACACTTTTCCCCCAGAGGGAGACAAAGCTTCATCTGCTTGCAAGGAGGACGCTTTGCCCCACCCTCTCTGTTCCACTGTCTGCTTGCCTGCGGCCTCTACCTGCCCTGCCAGGAGGGCCAAGATCCCCCACGAGGCCAGCAGTAGCATGGGCGGCTAGCATGGCACCCACCACAGCCGAGAAGTGTCCCAGCAGCAGTTGGGCCAGCAGGCAGGGTGGTGAAGGCCAAGGCATCCCGAGAACTTGGTCCGTTGCAGTTGCAGGCAAGCAAACAGTGGGATACAGAGGACAGGACCAGCAGTAGCTGCGTTCCCTCTCCCGTTGGCCCCCGCATTCGCCGCCTCCTGCAGTTTATAAAAAAAAAACCTCCTCAAAAATACCCAAGTGCTTATTTTCAAGCCCAGGGAAACACAGTAAAGGTGGGATATAAATTAAATAAACATGCCAAAGATAATTGCAGACATTAAATAAACAAACATGCTGAAGATCATCGCAGACATTTATAACCAAATATTAAAACCATATTCTTTGGAGAAACTGTTGTGAATGCACCCTTTTGACCTTCTGGAAGGTGTTAAAACCTGGCTGTGCCAGTTGGCTTGGTGGTCTGTGTTGGAGGAGGCTGGTGGACTAATACGAACAAGTAGTCCTCAACTTACAACCCCAGTTGAGCCCAAAATTTCTGTTGCTAAGTGAATTAATTGTTAAGTAAGTTCTCCCCCCCTTCTTGCCACAGTTGTTAAGTGAATCATTGTAGTTGTTAACTTAGTAACCTGGTTGTAAAGTGAATCTGGCTTCCCCATTGACTTTGCTTGCCAGAAGGTCACCAAAGGTGATCACATGACCCCGAGACACTGCAACCGTCATGAGTCAGTTGCCAAATGGCTGAATTTTGATCAACCTGACCATGGAGATGCTACAATGGTCGTTAAGTATGAAAAACGGTCTTGTCACTTTTTTTCAGTGCTTTGAACAGCCATTAAATGAACTGTTATAAGTCGAGGACTACCTGTGCGATGCCACTGGTATATCAATCTTGTCTTTGGTTTATTTCCTTATTGAAGATTCTTACTATTTGTTATTTTAATTGTAACCCGCAGAGTTGCTTTGCAGAGTGAGGTGGGTAGCATATGAATTTAATAATATAAACACAGGTAACACTTCTGTTTTGAATTAAGGAAAAAGCAACCCATATTGCGAAGTTAGCATGGGATCTCAAAGCTACACTACCAGGACACTACCAGATACCTTGAATCCCAAATGGAACTTTAACTGTCAATTCTTCATCAAAGACCTTTATCAAGATGTATTGTGTATCACCATGTTTGACAGGGATCAGTTTTCACCTGATGGTATGTGTGGAATTCTGTGTTTCAAATATTTAAAAATTTCCTCCCAATTGTAGTGAATAGAAAACAAAACCGTAGGTTCAAAAAGCTGCCAGACCCCTACTGATTGCGATTGTCCAGAACAGGGCTCTTTTAGCCCTCTGTTGCAACTCCCTCCTTTCATCCCTCTGCTGCGGAGAGAAGCGGCCAACGCCGCTGCTGTTGCCACCTCCATGGCCTGGCCTTTGCTCTTGCAGCGCCTTGCGCAGCACAGTGAAATTTAGCGCACTTTACAAATGGGGGAGACAGGGTCCCCTCCTCCTCCTGGAACCCATTACAATGCACAGCCACAATGAGAGAGAGGGAGGGAGGGAGAGACAGAGACAGAGAGAGAAGGAGAAGGTGAACAACACACCCAAAGCCGGATGTGGCAAGGGGTGGGGTGAGGCCGGAGATGCAAATAATTTAACAACCGGTTCTCTGCCTTAATGACCAGCTGGAGAGGCATGGCTGGAGGGTCAGGTGACTGGGTGGGAGTGAGTGATGTCACATTGACCACATCCACCCAGTCACACCGGTTGTTAAATTATTGGTTCCTGGTGTTTTCTGTTGGAAACCGGTCTAAATGGCTCTTTTGAGTGTTTAAGGTTGTAGACCCCTGGTCCAGAATACGCTGTGATAATGCTTAATTTTCTTTATTTCTCTAAGATCTCTCTTCGTTGTCTGTTCATGATTGTGTTTCACATTGGTGATCTGACTTAAGGATTTTGTTGTTGTTGTGCAGAGTTTTTGGGTCGCACTGAAGTTCCTGTAGCCAAAATCAGGACAGAGCAAGAAAACAAAGGACCTACAACTAAACGTTTACTACTGCATGAAGTACCAACAGGGGAAGTTTGGGTACGCTTTGATTTACAGTTATTTGACCAGAAAACACTTGTTTAAAGAGAGAAAATATGTTTTATTTATAACAGCCAGGACCAGCATAGATCATTGAACTGCTCTTACTGGCATGTTTTACAAGCGGTGTATAAATATTGCTGCAAAATCATTTTGCCTGGTCACATGGACATTATTTCTCCTTGTATATATTATTTAGTTCTGTGCTTTGCACTCTCCTATGTTGGTGGCAATCTATGCAATATACTGTATGTGAGATAATATAAGACAGTGCCTTTCTTTATTGAAAGTAAATATTTTTAAAGCAAATGCCAGTGTTTATTTCAGATTCCTTTAAAGCGTTATCAAGGAATCTGGCAATTTAAAATGTTTGAAATATCTCCACTTAGGTTTCAATGAACCATAGGATATTTTAGTTCTGAGCTAAAATCCTTCTTCAGGTTCAGAAAATGGAGTCTGATTGACCCTTATCTCAGGTATCTCAGGATATATTTGTGGAAGAAGTTTCAGCACTTCAGGATCCTTTCAAAATTATATATTGACACAAAGTGCAGCCTTTAAAAACTTGCTTCTCTTATAAAAAGGAAATAAAATCTCTCTCTCAATAATTTTGCAAATTTACCAAGGTTTTTTGGTAGTAAATAAGATAAACCCTTTTATATAATGTGGGACATAATGATTTGGATGCAAACAACCAAAGCACTCTCTAAAGCCACTGCTTAAGGCATCAGGAGACCATATCCTCTTTAAGGTGGCCCATCAGCAGCAATCCCAGGTAAGTGTGTGCAGACAATAGGGAGCAGTCTTTGAAGCAGCCATGCCAAGCCACCCTGATGCTCAAGCCATGGCTTCAGAGAACACCTCCAAATGATTCAAGTGGCCTAATAATGTTTTGAAAAGTGGAGTGTCTTGCAGATCTCAATAAAACATGCAGCTAAAACATGTCCAAGTCAAAGATTCCAAGGAGGTTAATGTTACCTTGGGCTCTATGGTAAATAAAATAAGCTGGTGAATATATTGTAATTTCTCTATATATTAATATGTGGCATATTACTTTTCTTAAGCCAACTGTATTGTATTCTGGAATGTAAATGAGTAAGAAAGATTCTAGGAATGAAACCGTGCAAAATTATCAACGTTTTAAAACCAGTTACATTTACTACTGGAATTACGATATAGGATTTTGTGGAATTCAATATTCAAGTCAAGAGTGTTCGTCCAAACTCCTCTGATATGGCTTTATTAATAGAGCTTGAGCACAGCTGGTGTTTATTTATTTGCCATTTTTAAAAATGTGCTGCAATTGAACCATGCTCTTTATTGGGAAGGATTCCTCTTTATAGAATGTAAGGGTTGAGCAAAAGCTGTGTATTTTGAATATGCATCTCGGATGTATGTATTACTTTTAATTTAAAACAATGAGTGAAGTTGTATGCCTTAAGTGCTGCCTTTCCATATAGCTAAGTGAATTGCAAACCTGAGAAACAGTTTTCTGAAATGCATTTTTATTAATATGAAATAAAAACCTATGTTCCCAAAAGTATATATTCAATTAACTGAAGTTAAACACATTGTCTGTATGATACAGTCATTTCTGGGCAAGTGGAAAAGAAACAAGCACTATTGAAGTTTACATAAGCCAAATTGCAGTTTAGAAACTCCCATATATTGAAGAAGAGGAAAAAAGTCAAAGTTTATGCCATAAGAAAACAATTACATTTAAAACAATTAAAAACATTTGAAAAGAAATAATTCTGGTGGTTCTGTCAGGAGATAACAATTTATCTTGAAATTCATGTATTCATACACACAAGCATATTTCTTGGGTACAGAGAAAGCAAAACAGATCTTTAGAGTGCTACAAAGCTAATTTTCTCACAATTTTAGACCATTTGAATTTTTGGTTCCTTTTTTATTTGCAACTGATATGTTTCAGGCCAACAGAAAAAAAGAAATTTTCAATATTAAAAAGATCTTCCAAGCAGAAATTCCCATTCAATTGTCCCTAACATCCATTCCTTCCCAGAACACATCAGGAGAAATAATTTGTCTGCTAACAGTATACAACCACTCTTATTCATCAATACATTTCTGGTTCTTTTCTACTTTTTTTCAAATGTGCACGGTGGATGTATGTGTATCCTGAACAACAAAAGTGCACATTACTTTATTTGTTATTGAATAATTGGGCCTCAATCATACTACTATGCAATGAGACTTTTCACTTTACCTTAAAAGATTATGTTTAGCAGAAGACTATACTTTTTATAATCAGGTATATTTTAATAGTTCACAACCATGAAGCAATGTAGGATTAGGCAACTGGCTTGAAATTACTTCCACTTTAGTCTCCAAAATTGAAACATGGAAAAGTAATGCTTTTATTTGAAAAAATATGTATTTTCCTGTAAGCTGCAACACTAATTCTATCCTTGTTCCTGCACATTATTTAGGTTTTACAACTTCAGTACTTATACCAAAAAGACAATACCGTAAAACTGAATCAAATGAAGTTAAAAGACAGTAAGTTAAATGGATTAAAAAAAACATTTATGTGATAGAGCAGGATTTTATGAAAGAAAATGCCAGCTCTGAGCTTTAAAAGATAAACTCTTGAATTAACTCTTAACTCTATCAAAGAAGATTCCTTATTTTAAATATGTAAAAAGTCTATATTGCACCAGGAGCAGAATCACTAATCTCTCAATGAGCCTTTAGAAATGAAGTAACTGAATATTTTTTAGCTGTTTTATGGACAGGCTGTTAAATTTGCTTTGTAACTGAATAGGAAAATATCTTATGGAAACAGGAAAAGCCATATTCCTGCTAAATTTATGAAAGTCTGTTGTTCAGTCTTTTGGAACAATTCAACTCAGGTCAGCAGAGCCTTGGATCTAAAGACCAAAAGATGCTTTGGAGCATGGAAGGCACTCACCTAGCATCTGATTGCAACTTCTTAAGCCAAATGCATTTTTCCCAGCAGCTAAAGCAAGCACACACACTTGCACAAAAAAAACCACAGCTGCTTTTAAGAGCATATTCCTGTGTGCCCCAAAACATCTTTTTATCTCTGTATCTGAAGCACTGTCTACCCGTATTCCACTTACGCTTCTGAAATAAAGTGTACTTATGTAGCAAGTTCTGTGATTTTCCCCCTATAAGAAAATATGAAGTAGCTGTTTAGCAATACTTTTGAAAGCAGTCATATGCAGTCACAATTTTAAGCGTTTAAGCATAAAATCCCTGTAGCCTGTGTTTTACTCTTCTCAGTAGTCCCTGATGCGGAAAAAGCTTCTAATCATTCCTTCTAAGTAATTGGATCACCCTTTTATACACCAAATTTTGGCATTATCCCTTTACAAGGAATCAGTTTCAAAGAAAGATCAATAGGAAGCAAATTTTATTTTGGGTTTCCGAACTGGTGTGCCAGTAAATATTTGTTTTGACCAAAGACTGGCCATTTGAGTGAACTCTGATTTCCTGATAGAGGGGAATCTCTTCTCCAGTGGAGGCCAGGCCGAGTCACCCCAGCTGTTGAATTCCATAGAACTCTGGTTTCTAGTTGTGCTCATTTTTTGCCTTTTAACAGAATGAAATTAGGATGGTTAACGCTGCCTGTTATTGCTAAGCACCAGTGTTTACCTCTGCTGAACCAGTTGTATGCTGTGCTACACTGATGCTGCTTGACACTCAAAAAGGTGGCCAATTTTCAAACATTACCTTTTGATTTCAGTGATACATAAAACCAAACCTTGTTACTGTTGATGGTGGTGGAGCTGTGGACAATATAAAATGCACAGTGAATGAGCAACATGGAATTACATTCTGTGAGGGAGAGGACAAATCATCTTCAGTGGAAATCTCCTCCCCTTGGCTTTAAAAAGGCAGACTGTTAAATGTTGGCAGAAGGCCTGGGGCTAGGCCCAGATCATTTCCTGTTTTGAACCGGAGAGCAGGTTCCTGGCTTTTCTGGCTGGTGAGCCCCTAGGGAGAAAGTTTATTTCCTTCTTTCTTGCTTTCTCTTGCTCTTTACCTTTCCTAGCTCTCATATGTGCCTTCCTACAAAAAAGAATAAGAATAAGAACAGGAACCACACACTTCCCTAGAGGTAAATTACAAGGATTTGTTCCTGCCAATTCCTCTTGTTTTCTGGAAATGAAATTTCAAGGTCACTATTGGATTTAATTACTGTAACGTTGCCTACCTAATTCCACTGTTCCTCCAAAATATAGGTCAGATTGTGAATGTTTACTGTTTAAGCAAGCCATTGTGTTTTAAGTGGATCAGATGAGGGGGTTGGTTTTCTTTTATTCTAAAACTGACCTTTAATAAGGAAGGAACGGGGTAACTAAAGTGAAAAACAGTAAAAAGAAAGTTTAGTTGTTTTGCTAAATAACTTCAGTACATTTGGAAAAGAGGTGGTTAGTGATATGTTAGACTGTCAGTTGCATTCATCATCATTCCATTTGTAATTCTTACGAAGGTGGGCCTTATTGAAGGATCCCTAGAAATGCGATCCTGAGTTCCACTTCACAGAAGAGGTTATCTTTCTACAAATCACTTAATTATCTCACACAGCTTAGGCCGGAACCAATGAAAGTGAAAATTGAAGAAGAACTAAAGAAGAGTATGACTGAATTCGGTTTTAAATTGGGGATCAGAATTTCAGCCTGATGTACCATGAACAGTCTTCTTTGTGTATAATTGAATACAGATTGGGGGAAGTCTCAAGTGAGTATAAGAATGGCTTTCCTCTATTAGAGAAGAGGGACCACTCCCTCTCAGGTCCAACAGAAAGGGTATGGTAAGAGTCCTGTCCATGAAGGAGTCTCATCTGACGGGACAATACTTATTGATCCAAGACTTGTACTTTCCAGCTTTTTTTGAATGTTGGTTTCAATTAGGTATTTATTTAGCTATTGTGTTTTTACTGTTTTCCTGTGTTTGTTTATTGATTGTGTTACTGTATTTGGGTTTTTTAAAAATACAGCATGAACTGGCCAAAGTCACAAATAAGAGGTGGCAGATATACAACTAGAAAAAAAATAAAATAAAAGAGATACATTTTATACTGAACTGCCCCTAACAATCTTCAAATAATAAAAGACAGCAATTTGCCCATAGTGGTTACCCATCACAATCTACCATTTTTGCATCAAAATACAGCATCATATAACTTTTCAGAAAATATATTTTGATCCCTTCTGAAACACTATCAAGAGTTCTTTATGCCAAACAATACATTGCCTTAAAAAGCAGCTACAGATGTCTATCCCACAGACTTCTTCCAAGGTAAAATTAATAACATTGATATTCTTTTATGAAAATAGATTGGACAAAAGGATTACTCTGTGACTAATGAAAAGAAAGCACTTGTCTGGTTTAAGAACTTCATACATGTGGTTACTGTTTAATATTAATATCTAAAAAACATCCTGGGATTTTTAATCAATGTTTTTATTATTAATACACCAATATCATTATCTGGCATACTGTCCTGCACACAATATTCTCAATTCTATTCTGTGCAATACACAGAGATCTTTACTATGTTCACTGATAGTTCATTAAATTCTTCCTCCAAGAAACCACTTTATCTTAGCTTGGATAAAATGTTTCCTTCCCTCTACAGTTTCATATAATTCTTTTTCTGGCAAATCTGAATTTAATTTCTCCTCACTTATCTTATTTGGGGGGGAAATTTCACAACTGTTCCTCAAAAGTCACAGTTCTTTAAACAAATAAAAACTAGCCTTATATCTAAGGATGTGATTTCACACTTCAGGTCGATTTTTAAATTTTCCTAAACAGTTTTCAATAAACTTCTGACAGGATTTCTCTTTCAAATTACTAATAGCAAAAGTCCCCAAAAACATGACTTTCTTTAAAGCATAATTTAGGCTGAGTAGGCCTCCCACTTTATGTGTACATAGACCACAAAACGGCCTATCGAGGAGATACACCAAAATGGCAATTGTGTTAAATCAGTAATTCACAACCTTAGCAACTTGGAGATATGAGAACTTTGGCTCCCAATTGATCTCAAAGCCGCCAAGGTTGAGACGCCGGTGCTGGACACAAAGAAAGAAGTGTCATATTGTGAGGCTGTTAGTGTGTAGATAACAATAAGAATTTCAGTTTACCATGTATCTATTAAATACACAAACTTCAACAAATTTGCAAACACATTTTGTAAGCAAATTTGCAAGCTTCAATGAAGTTGCAGGAACTGGATATGTGTAGCTTTATGAAGAGAAATAACTAGAGGTGACATGATAGCAACATTCCAATATCTGAGGGGCTGTCATGCAGAAGTGGGGGTTGACCTATTCTCCAAAGCACCTGAGGGTAAGACAAGGAGTAAATCGATGGAGGCTTACCAAGGAGAGATCCAGCCTAGAATTAAGGAGACATTTCTTGACAGTGAGAACAATGAACCAGTGGAACAGCTTGTCTTCAGAAGTTATGGGTGCTCCATCACTGGAGGTTTTTAGAAGAGAATGGGCAGCCATTTGTCTGGAATGGTATAGGGCCGTGATGGCGAACCTATGGCACGCATGCCACAGGTGGCACGCAGAGCCATTTATGCTGGCACGCAAGCTGCAGGCAAACTTGCCTCACTGCGCATGTGTGCGCCTCACAGCTGATTTTCGGCCGGTTTGAGGCCTTTTTTTGGCCTCCCAAAGGCTTGAGGAAGGCTTCTGCAGGCTTCTACAAGCTTTGTAGGCCGAAATCTAGCCCCATTTCATCACTTCTGGTATTTTCGGAAAAACAGGAAATTGGGCTAGGTTTCGGCCTACAAAGCTTGCAGAAGCCTTCCTCAAGCCTTTGGGAGGCCAAAAAAGGCCTCAAACCGGCTGAAAATCAGCTGTGAGGCGCAGTGCAGGTAAGGGGGCAGTGGGGAGGTGGGGAATTGTGCATGCATGCATAGGGGACGTGGGGAGGGGCGCGCATTGCCTTCTGGGTGCTGGCACTTGAGTGCACGCATGCAAGTGCATGCACAATTTTTGGCACAGGAGCCCAAAAAGGTTAGCCACCACTGGTACAGGGCAATGATGGCTAACCTTTTCATCTTTGCGTGCCGAAAGTGCACACATGCGCACGCATGCCTGCACCCACAATGCACTGCATGCAGCCCTAACCCCCTGCGCATGTGCGCGCGACCCCCCCCATGTGTGCGCATCTCCTGTGTGCCCCCCGCACATGAGCAGTAGATACCTGACAATCGGCTGGCGGGAGGCGCATGCCAAGTGCACGTGATCTGGGGCGACGGCTCACTTCCAGCATGTGTGCCGTAGGCTCGCCATCACTAGTATAGGGTCTCCTGCTTGAGCAGGGGCTTGGATTAGAATGCCTCCAAGGTCCCTTCCAACTTTGTTATCCTGTTAAATTCACCAAAGGCCAATTATAACTAGAAGTATTTTTATAATAGTCTTCAGCTATTTTATAAGCCATCATATGTATTTTCAAATAACTACTCATTTCCAAACAGGGAATAGCATCCACACTAAAGGGACCGATTAAATGGGCCTTCTTTTGTTAGTGTTTTTGTTTTAAATGATACATGTAATTTAAAACAAAATGGGACATATATATTTCTAGAAGCAACCAAGCAGGCATCTGACTCCCAAGACTCCTCCCCTTAAAATATATACTCATCCATCCATGGATACAGAGAAGCAGCAAAATATACATCTCAACAATCAACAAACCCTTTTGACCTTGCATGGTGAAGTACTAGTATAAAAGAGCAAATGTCATCTTGATAGCTTTGTGGCTAGCTGCAGGTGGATATACAGGCTATCACGAAGAACTACATTTGGTTCTGACAAAGTGAAATGAAGCAACATTCAGAAGAACAAGAACTGAGCCTCATCACAAGAAGAGATTCTATTATTTCAGGGATGTCAAACTCAAGGCCCATGGGCCAGATCTGGCCTGTGGGGTGCTTAGATCTGGCCTGCGGGGTTGCCCTGGAAACAGTGAAGGACCAGCCCGCAGTGCCTTTGCTAGCTTCATAATCAACTTTTATATATGATTGTTATTCAACAGAAAATAAATTTTAAAAATGTAAGTTTCTCAAACTTTACCTGCATTTTTTACGGACATCACTTTCCATATACTGGAATGGGATTTTCAGCCACTCTGTGGGATTTATAAGCTGCCGACCCAAAGGAAGTGGTGGTAACTCAGTCTTGTGTAGTTCATGAATATCTTTAGAGGAATATACTTTTCCTGTGGAAAGTTGCAAGGCATATAGAAGAAAGGCTTTTTCTTCCTCATTAAGCAAACTTTCTGATTAAAAAAAAACCCTGTACAATATTGAGACGAATCCAATCTCCCCATCCCAGCCCTAAATTACAAACATACCATTTGATGTACACTGCTCAAAAAAATAAATAAAGGGAACACTTAAACAACACAATGTAACTCCAAGTCAACCACACTTCTGTGAAATCAAACTGTCCACTTAGGTAGCAACACTGATTGACAATCAATTTCACATGCTGTTGTGCAAATGGAATAGACAACAGGTGGAAAGCATAGGCAGTTAGCATGACATCCCCAATAAAGGAGTGGTTCTGCAGGTGGTGACCACAGACCACTCCTCAGTTCCTATGCTTTCTGGCTGATGGTTTGGTCACTTTTGAATGCTGGCGGTGCCTTCACTCTAGTGGTAGCATGAGACGGAGTCTACAACCCACACAAGTGGCTCAGGTAGTGCAGCTCATCCAGGATGGCACATCAATGCGAGCTGTGGCAAGAAGGTTTGCTGTGTCTGTCAGCGTAGTGTCCAGAACATGGAGGCGCTACCAGGAGACAGGCCAATACATCAGGAGACATGGAGGAGGCCGTAGGAGGGCAACAACCCAGCATCAGGACCGCTACCTCTGCCTTTGTGCAAGGAGGGACAGGAGGTGCACTGCCAGAGCCCTGCAAAATGACCTCCAGAGGGCCACAAATGTGCATGTGGCTGCTCAAATGGTCAGAACACCAAGATTGGCAAATTCGCCACTGGCACCCTGTGCTCTTCACAGATGAGCATGTGACAGACGTGAAAGGGTCTGGAGACGCCGTGGAGAACATTCTCTGCCTGCAACATCCTCCAGCATGACCGGTTTGACAGTGGGTCAGTAATGGTGTGGGGTGGCTTTTCTTTAGGGGGCTGCACAGCCCTTCATGTGCTTGCCAGAGGTAGCCTGACTGCCATTAGGTACCAAGATGAGATCCTCAGACCCCTTGTGAGACCATATGTTGGTGCAGTTGGCCATGGGTTCCTCCTAATGCAAGACAATGCTAGACCTCATGTGGCTGGAGTGTGTCAGCAGTTCCTGAAAGACGAAGGCACTGATGCTATGGACTGGCCCGCCCATTCCCCAGACCTGAATCCAATTGAGCACATCTGGGACATCATGTCTCACTCCATCCACCAACGCCACAGACTGTCCAGGAGTTGGGGGATGCTTTAGTCCAGGTGTGGGAGGAGATCCCTCAGGAGACCATCCGTCACCTCATCAGGAGCATGTCCAGGTGTTGTAGGGAGGTCATACAGGCACGTGGAGGCCACACACACTACTGAGCCTCATTTTGACTTGTTTTAAGGACATTACATCAAAGCTGGATCAGCCTGTAGTGTTTTTTTCCACTTTAATTTTGAGTGTAACTCGAAATCCAGACCTCCATAGGTTGCTAAATTTTATTTCCATTGATAATTTTTGTGTGATTTCATTGTCAGCACATTCAACTACGTAATGAACAAAGTATTTACTAAGAATATTTCATTCATTCAGATCTAGGATGTCTTATTTTTGTTTTCCCTTTATTTTTTTGAGCAGTGTATATATCACATTGTGCAAACCATTTCCAATATTTTCAAATTGGCCATACTATTTAATGCAAAAGAGAAACAGAGAGAACCATTCAAAAATCTGGTCTAGGGTCTTTAAAGTCTCAGACATTAAACCTGAAGATGATCAGAAGCAAACAGGAAAAAGAAAAGGAAAAAGAAAAAAAAAGGAAAAAGAACCTGTTTCACACTGCTGCATAATGCTGGCTTCAATGTATCTTCCTTCTATTTCCTTTAACAAGGGATCATGTAAAGGAGGAACTGATGCCTAGAGGGGGGAAAAACAGCTTCTATTCATATTTCAATACTTCATGACATCAAATTATTCAGACCTATACAGATAGTCCTTGACTTATGAACACAGTTAAGCCCCAAATTTCTGTTGCCAAGGCACTTAAGTGAGTTTTGCCCTATTTTACAATCTTTACAACCTTTCTTGCCACAGTTGTTAAGTGAATCACTGCAGTTGTTAAGTTAGTAACATGGTTGTAATCTGGCTTCCCCACTAACTTTGCTTGTCAGAAAGTCACAAAAAGGTGAACACATGACTGGGACACTGCAACCATCATAAATATGAACCAGTTGCCAAGTGTCTGAATTTTGATCACATTGACCATGGGAATAATGCAGTGGTTGTAAGTGTAAAAAGCAATTATAAGTCCCTTTTTTCAGTGCCATTATAACTTTGAATGGTCACTAAATGAACTGTTTGTAAGTTGAGGACTACCTGTAGTTCAGTTGCTATATGCATCAAGGAGCATTTAGAAGCCTGAACACTGAACCTTGAAAGAAAATGGTAATCATGTCACCCAGGGGTGGGATACGACAGGGTTAACTACTGGTTCCGGATTTACGAGCTTCCCTGCAGGCTGCGAGCCACGCACCTGTAAATCAGCAGCAGCAGCTGCCTGCAGAGAAGCAGCCTTTGAAACAGCCCTCTTTTCTTGCTTTTCTAACTGCAGCTGTGCCTCGTTCGGCAGTTGAAGTTGAAAAATCAGGAAATAAAGATCAGGTAAGAGCCCAGGTGGGTGGGAGGGCAAAAACAGCAGCAGACATAGAACCAGTTCTATGTCTGCTGCTCTTCAGAGCTACCAGTTCTACAGAGGTGGACAGAACTGGTAGAAACCCACCCCCTGATGTCACCCTGCAAGAAGATACCAAACATACTTTGTTCACAACTGGTGTTAAAGTATAGATACTGAACTTCTGTCCTAACTATTCTTGGGCCTAACCAATTCTTTAATCCCACAATTCAACTTTAGATTCTTTTTAGCTGGACCCAACTGCCAAGCAAGGATTAAGGTTGAAGGTAAAGTTGGCCCCTTCTTTTTTTTCTTGTGCATTGCCAAATGATAGGGTCCCTGAAAAAGATCTGGTTTCTGGGCAACGCAGCTGAGTCAGGTACTGGATAAACCTTCTGATTGCCTGCTCCATCTTCGGCTCAACCAGAAACATTCAGTAAGCCAACATTTTCAAATTTCATTCCCTAATCTATAAAAGTAACTACACCAATGCATCTTTTATGTAAGATGTGAGCATTACGGGTCATAATCATTCTATGAAGAACTTGTGCACATATTCTTACTCTAGGAAAACTTGAATACTTTATCATTCTCTTTTCACCATTGTTTAAAAGACTTACACAAAGAGAGGCAAACAAGGTGAACTAGTGTGATGTGTTATTCTCCAATTGCTCTGTCAGACCATGTAAATTATGTAAATTATACTTTAGCAGTTACAAGCTATATCCATTTCAAGTATGTAAAATACTGTCTTTGTCTTTATGGTTCTTCCCTCCTATGCTCTTAGAAATTACAAGTCAATTTTATTTAAGCAGCCAGAAACTGGGAAGAACTGCATATGCTCTAAATGTGGGAAGGGGGAAAGGTGAGAATCTTCGCAGGAAAGGCAAGACCAGCTCTACAATGATGTGTCCTTATTTAAATTCTGGTAGCAAGGAGGATAATCCCAGAACTACCCATTTACCTGTGAGGTATTTTCCACCTCTTTTTTTAAAATATCTAACCCAAGCCTGTCCTTCACAAGTCCAGTCCAAAAGGCTAAGAAAAAGAAGTCAACAAGAGCTCACCAGGAAAATGGGAATGCACAGCCTCTCTCACCTTCCACAAGTCTGGAGTAGTCTTCAGGAAGAAAGGATCATAAGATGATGGACTATAACTTTCTAAAAATGCACCTCCCTGAGTGAGTAGAAAGAGCACTTGGTGAACCTGTGGCCATCACATATTATTACTTCAGAGTAGAGAATTAGTGTTTCCTGTTTGATAGCTTAAATAACATCTAATACAAATATCTTCCACAAATTACTCTTATAGTCCCAATTTTCACAACATCTTATGAAACATCTTTTCATAACATACGAGTTTATTTTTATCAGCAGTGTGAATCAACAACACTGAATCATGATACTTTTATCCATTTTATAGGAAAGGATTCATTCAAGGCAATACAAAAACCAAGTATTTTAGTTACTACACAAACTGTATTAAATGAAGCCCCAACACCTTTTCAGCATTACCGAGGTTGACGTTTTCAGAGGGCAATTGCCCTTTACCTATAAATCAATGGATCCTTTTAGAAGAAATTTTAGTTATTTGAGACAGAAAGGACCAAATTACACTTTCCACAAAGCATATTTTTGGAGGGCTTTATTTTAATCACTAGAGACCTTTCCCCTCCTGAAAAAGGAGCTTGGGTCTAATCACATCCGGTCAATAAGGAATTTATTCTATTCTATTCTATTCTATTCTATTCTATTCTATTCTATATTCTAATTCTAATTCTATTCTAACATGTATGGGGACCAACGGGGAGGGAGGTTAACTATTTCCTCTCCATTCTTTCTTCCTGCCACACTGCAGAAAATGATAATTTCATAGAAAAATATATATGTACGCATGTTTAGGGATATTTTCAGCAGATAAAAATTGTGAAGGAAATGTTTAATCATTCCCTTTATATATGCCATAGTTCTGATATTAATAAGGCAAAGCTTAACTTCTTTTTCTGAAAAAGAAAAAAGTTACCATGACTAAGCAAGCTTTTAAAATAAATTTAAATATAACACATAAGTTGAAGAATGATGGTTTAGTTTTAGAATGAGATGTAAGCCACATTTCAAATGAATTTTTATTTGTTCTAAGCTCATTTGTTAAGACATATTTCAATATCTGAACTAAGGAGCCTCGCAAACTGCACTTCTAGGGATGGGCTCTAGCATTCTCCATTACAAAAATGAGGCAGCCTCATGAATTTTTTTGCCTGTTATACAGCATATATACATTATAAATGACCTTGAAGCCAAATCCATTGGCAGTGATGAAATTTCCCATACAGCTGGATATCTTTAATAAATAATCCCAGGTAAGATTTTTATGTTATGCCTTATATAGATTTACAAGAACTATATCCCACTAAACAAAAAATATAGCATATATTCCTGCTTCAGAGTCCACAGCCTTACAAACATTAAGGAAAATAACAATATTATGTGGGCAGACAATACATAAAATCCGTAATTACACAATCTCTTGGTTCTTTTTTTTTCACTCCATGGTGCTTAAAATACAATTGGCAGTGAATCCTGAGTCCCCTAATCATCAGTCATTTTCAAGGAACATTTAGGAAGCATTGCAACCATAAACACTTGAATCTGGTCTACCGTAGAAAACTGGCTTTTATTTAAGGGCCAGAGCACTGAAGGAAACCCAAAGCATCTTCTGTCTTCAGGGATATTTAACACTGTCAGTATTCTTCTGCCGGGCTTGGTACCTCCTCTGTGACTGGATAGGTGGAAGTACGGGGAGGAAGAAAGGGTTATGGGAATGATAAGCACTGAAGTCACAACCGTATTTTGGTTCGGAATCTGGAGGATTTTGTGAGGCTGAAGAACGATCCATGGCTGAAGAAGCAGATGATTGAAGGACAGGAGATGAGGTAGGGGGGACTACTGATTGTGGGAGAGATGACAAAGCATTTGGAGAACTGACCAGTTCTGTGGGGGATAGCTGTAGGAAAGGTGAAGGGAAAAAAATAGAGGGTGAATGGAGGTAAGGGGGAAATGGAGGAAGCAAATGAAAGAAATGAGATGGAACAGATGGAGGAAGTAAGACTGAGGGGAGAACGATAATTGGAGGGGAGGCAGATGGGGAGATGGAAAGGAGAGAGAAGGGAAACGGAGGAAGAAAAGAGGGGAAATAGGAACTATAGGGAGGACTCTGGGACTCAAAAAGTGGATGAAATGGAGGAAGGAGCACACATAACGAGACTGAGGATCCTGGAGCAGAAGAAGCCTGGTAGAAGGAAAAATACAAGGAAAGCAGAAAACAAATATATGAGCAGAAAAGCACAGAATGTTAAAATATACTACATAATAGTAGAAAGTCAAGGACAAGTTTCATTCTTTCTTACTGCCAAAGGCAATTAAGTAAGACTGAAATAATAAACTTTGAAATGACAGAATGCAGTTTTATATACAAATCCAATCTCGTGTTAATTAAGATGCACATATATCGAAATGGTACACCCTTTCTAATCATTTATTATAAATCTTATTTTTTCATCGTTGCAAATCTCTATTTTTGCCTTTTGAGGATTACTCATCGATATTGCCTCCGAGACTATATGTGATAGATAGAAAGAGAAATTTATTCAAACATTTCGGGACAATAAATATAGCAAATCAGGAACCCAAATAAAACAGAAGTCTAATATGCGGTCTGCATTTGTATACACTGCATACGTAAATGGAGATTAGCCAATTGTACACACATACTTGTATATATGTGATTTTTTCAGTAACTATCGTGTCTGGGGGAATGGAAGAGGATTTTTCTGAGTGAAGCAAAATAAGCCAAGAATAGAAATAACTATGGTTACTTATGTTGACGGTAGCGAGGAGTTTCTACTCCCCCAAGTCAGACCCTGGGAATTTTACTAGGAGGCTCAAAATATGTCAGTACTCCAATTGAAAAATCTGTAATAAGTAAAATAACCTGACTAGTTTTGACTTTCTGAGATTATATAGGTAATCCCCAAATTATGACCACAATGAGCCCAAAATTTCTGTTACTAAGCAAAGCAGTTGTTAAGTGAGTTTTGCCCCATTTTACAGCCTTTCTTGCCACAAGTGCCACAAGTGTATCATTCAGTTATTAAAAGAATCTGGCTTCCCCATTGACTTCGCTCATCAGAAGGTTGCCAAAGGTGATCAGGTGATCCCGAGACACGGCAACCACCATAAACACATGCCAAGCGTCCGGATTCTTTTGATCCCATGACCATGGGGATGATGCAAAGTTGGAAATGTGAAAAACAGTCATAAGTCACTCTTTTCAATGCCATTATAACTTCAAACTATTACTAAACAAAGGGTTGTAAGTTGAGGACTACCCATACTATATGTTCAAAGCTGTGCAATGAGTCCATGTGCAATGAGTCCATGAGGGCAACTTAAACCCAACTTTCTATATTCTTTCAAGTCTTATAACTGGTCTTTTCCCCCCATTCTTCAGTTATGAGTTCCATGCACTTCACTGATGTTGTAGATTAGAGTGAAGAATTCCGCTTGGTTTACTCCGCAAGTTATTCTCCCTTGTCTTTTCTTACAAGCAGGAAGTTTGTCTTCTTTTCACAGATACCATAGATGACTGCCTCCACACTAATCGTGCCACTACGTTTTTGCTCCTTGCCATATAAAGTCTTTGGCACAGATTCAATTATTTCAAGGGAAAAAATTCAACCATTCATCTTGATAAACCCAAAAGGAAATTAATAAGCTTGCTAAATACATTATATATATATCATATAAAGTATTTTTTTTCTCTAAAACAGATCTTATAGAGTTAAAAATATAACTTTCCCTTCCCCATTTTACTTCCCACCCATCTACAGAAAAAGCAAACATAGCGGAGAGTCCCAGGCTCACCCTGAAGTGCAGCAAATGTCAGTGCATGCAAATAAGCAACTACTAAGGGCCAGGATCTTCATTATTATAAGTGAGATATGAGGACAGGCTGCCAAACTTTAGTGTCTGCCTTGTTATATTCCTGCACACAGGCATCTTGTTTCACTCTAAGTGCAAAATAAAATAAAATCATCTTCTGTTCACAAGAAAACATGCTTTTGATTAGTTGAAATCCCACACTTGTCTATTCAACCGAGGTAATGCTGAAGGTTTTTTACAGGAAGGCATCACCAGAGCTCAGTGAATTCTCACAATATATGATATATAATGACCTGTTTGAGCAGGCTTCATTTCCTCAATTTCCAATGATCTCTGCCTCACTTTAAACATGCAGCAAGTTACTCTGTTTCAGTGTGGAATAGGACAACCTGGTGCGGCCAGCTCGGAGGACCATTTGACCATCACCAAGTCACCTCTTCCAACTCACCGCCACAGTCACTAAAGGACAGCTGCACAGGCAAACTCACTGTTGTCACCTAGAGGGAGAGTACAGTACTGCAGGTGGAGGGAGGGAGAACCAGGTTGGCAGGTGAGCGAGTGGGTAGGCAGAGCACAGCAATGGGCAGGAGTTTCCCATTTTCACATACACCATCAGCTTTGCTACTGCATTCTGGACCAAACAAACCAGAGATGGTGGTGGCAGTGATGTGCAGGGTGGGTGGCAGAGAGGCGGTGGCATCACAGCGCATCCCATTTTCACACACATCCTGCTGCCACCGCTGTCCCCAGCCTCTTCGGCCTGGAGCTGTGTGGTGAAAGCGGCAGTGGGAGCCGCTCTGCTCACCCGGTTGCTCACCTGCCAACCTAGCACTCCCTCTGTCCACCTGCAGCAAGTTGGCCATGTGGAGTTGTCCTGTGGTGACTTGGTGATGGTGAGTTGGCAAAGGCAACTTGGCAGTGGTGAGCTGGCCATGCTGAGTTGTCCTAGACCCATTTCAGTGATGGCTAATCTACAACATGTATGACACACCATGACCTTTTGGCTTCATCAACAACAAATGTTCTCGAAAGCATGCCCCATTCCTGAAGAATTTAAGGCTTCAGAGGCTGCATGAGAATGTGGTGTGCTCTCTGAACCCTCCAGAAGTCATACGAAAGGGCTGGGCCCTCATAGAGTCCCCAGAGCCTCTGAAAATTGCATGAGAATGAGAGGTCTCCAGTTTCCAGAGGCTGTAAAGTCCATGGAAGAGCGTTCTCCAAAACTGCTTCAAGAATGAAGGCCTTGTGCAACCTGGAGCTGGTAGACTGCAGGCAGGGGCCTGTCAACAGAAAGAGAGCACTACTTGAAGATAAGCGCCCTGCAGCAGATCCTGGGGAGTGCCGCATAGTGTGGGCAATTATGCCAAGGCTTATGTCCTTTGGGAATGGCGCGACGTGGCTTTTTTGAAGTGGCAGTAGTGGCATTAGCAATAGCACTTAGACTTATATGCCACTTCATAGTGCTTTATAGCCCTCTCTAAGTGGTTTACAGAGTCCCCAACAATTGCCCCCAACAATCTGGATTCTCATTAAGGGCTCAATGTGAGGCCCAGGCTTCTGCTTCTCAGCCTCAATGCTGAGTGCCACTATTGAATGTGGCCTAGATGGGGGGGGGGCTGTATTGAAAATGGTTTCTTTTTGATTGACACACCAGAAGAGTCAAGTTAGGTATTTTCCCAATTTTGATACCAAGGCCAAAAAGGTTTACTACCACTGCTTTATCTATTGAAATTTTAAAAAATAATGAAATGAAATTCTAATCGTGTTATTCTAAACTGGCACAATAAACAACGCATTTTCCTCAGATATTACTGTTAAAATAATTATAACTTCTATAGAGCTAGTAATAATTTCAGTTTTCATCCAAAATCACAAATCCAATAGTTTTGCAAACAGCTTCCCAATGTCTTGTAGTAATAACAGTTTTTCTTTTCTGATACCTTCTCATTACAATAGTTTAGATAAAGGGAGAGCTGTTTTCGCTTCCTCTCTTCTATTTCTTTGCTTGACTGGTTGTCAACTTTGTCCTGAATTTTCTGAAGCAGAGGTCTTGAAACACTTTCAAACCATTTCTTGTACAGCATTTCCCTTCTCCTTAGAGCTAAGAAATCATTGTGCTTCAAATACCTGTCTACTTCCTAATTAACAGAGAAACTATTATTAACAAATGTAGTTTTTGAATAAATAATGAACATTTAAAACAAATCTGACAGTATAAATAATCCATAGAAATTGAGAAAGACTAGTAATAAATATATATTTCACACATTATAACATTCCTCCAAAGACAACACTTGCATATATAAAATATGTATCACTGGTGCCTACAAACCATTGCAATTTCATGCAATTGCTACAGGAAACCAATTATGTGATACTCGAATATATATATCTTATTTGCTACAGATATATAATTTATCTGTTGGACTTTTCAAATATATATAGCAGCCAGATACAGGCCTGAGTCTTCTTAACTAAAATTGTGTAATATTTGCCTTGACAAGAAAGACTAGAATATCAAACTATTTAAGGGATATAAAACATACAGGTTATCAGTCAAAGCTCTATTCTATTTAGTGTTAATGGCTGTTGATATACCTAAGAGAATCTAACTTTTCTAACCTTTTTTTCCCTTTAGATAAGGTTGCCTTATCATAATTGAAAAAAAGATCAAATAAACATAAGATTATTCTTGGGGCTATTTGAGATGGGTAATCTATAGCACTACAGGTATTGTTGGCATGTAAGCTGTTGTTCCTGGGAGTTCAGGTACTACTATTTCAGTAGTACCTGAAGGGCTATAGATTTCTCAAAATTATGCATTGTATTCCCTGGCTACAGCTCTAGAACCACAACTCATTTCATGTTTTTTCAATAGTTTGAATATGAAATCAAACTTGAAATACATCGTATCTTTTTTACTTTGTTCAATCATGTCCAACTTTTGAAGACTGCCTGGATAGGTCCCTGCAGTTATCTTGGCAAGGTGTTTCAGACATGATTTGACTTTGCTTCCTTCTCAAGGCTGAGAAAAAGTGACTGGGCCAAGGTCACCCTGTTGGCTTTATGCCTAAAGCAGGACTAGAACACACAATCTCCTGGTTTGTAGCCTGGAACTTTTAATCGCTACACCAAACTAGCTCTCATGATCTCTAATACTACAGACTTACATGACCACTATTAGCTATGTCAAGGCAAATTTGGAAAAGCTAAGACTAATCTGTCACAAAGGGAATGAATCAAAATAATAAATAAAAACATAAACTAGTGTTAAGGCACCTAATTAAGAAAGCAGCTATGAAAGCAAACAGACCAATCACTCTCTCACAGCCTAACTCAACTCACAGGGCTGTTGTTGTATAGAAAACAGGAGGAGGAAAAGTATCAGGTATGTTCACTGCCTTGAGATGTTTGACAAAATTACTAATAAAGGCAGGATGCAAATAAAAATAGAGAGAGGACAATACAGATAAAAGTTTCCTAGGTAAAAGTGTCATAAGAATGTATCAATTTTATGATAGATCTCAAACATGAAATTGGGCTTTTCCCCTTACCACTAGTGATGTGTTTTCCTTAATGGATTAGAGAAGCTGTTTGGAGAAGTGACAAAAATACTGTTGCACATTGATAACAGGATACAAATGTGAGGCCCAGAATTAAGATGAACAATGAGGCCCTTTTGGATAGAAATAGGAATATCAACCTCATGCAACATTTTCTATGAAATTGGTATTTCATGGACAAAACATTCCCTTTGATGCTCAGGCAAATTTTGTTTTCTCTAATATCAATACACCAACCAGAGAAACGCCAAGCCCCATGCCTAGCTGGGAGGGGGAAGTCCTGCATAAACCTTGAAGATCACAGACCTCCTTCTGGCTCTTCCTCCATAAGAATCAGGATGTTTGCACTATATTGTTTTCCAATGGAAAACCCCACTTTCCCGCTACATAACCTTGATCCACCTTTACCCTGACTCAGAAATAAATAAGAACTGAGGAAGAGATTCTGTTGGGAGAAAAATGTTCTTGACTAACAATAAAGAGGGTATCTTGGCACTGGAGCAAGGAGGGAGACATGGATAACTCCAATACCCATCTCTTTTTTTTTAAATCCAATTTTTATCTATCCATTTTCTCCTCCTTTTTTCCTTTCGAAACAAGCTCACAAGCTTCAATTAAGCTAAATACTAACCTAATAGTTATAAAGTCTACATCACCCTTCCTCTATTTAAAACCCTCCAGATGTGATGCCCTACAGCACGAGTGTCAAACTTGCAGCGTCACGTTGCCGTCATGTGACATTTTGCAACGTTTCCCCTTTGTGGAGCTGGGCGTGTCCTGTGCGTGACGTATCTGGCCCACCTGTTTGACACCCCTGCCTCCAGCTATCAGCACTGCAAGCCATAATGACCAACAGCAGGCCACTACTCCTTGGAAAAGCTATTAGACCTACAGCTGAAAATTAAAGGATTAGATATAAAAGACACTTCAGTAATGACAATTTAAGCTTGTAACAACTTTTTTCTAAATGACCAGGAACAAAATATTTTACAAACTTTTTCATTTGGGTGAAGAAAGAAGAATTTCAAGAATTTCATTTTTGTCAAGAAAGTATGGATATTGGGGGAGGGAGAAGACTTAACACTGATGTTTTTATTCCTTATTTTTATAGAAAATTGCTATTTCACAGTAAGATTTTCAACAATCAAAAAACAAGGTCTTCTCTTCTTACATGACGGTTACAAGTATGGATTTCTGGTCCAAGCATTTTTATGTCTTCCTCAATCATCAGAAAGTTACATTGCAAGCAATGTTTATTTCTTACCCTTATAAAGCAGCTTTCTCTTTCCAGCAGCAACTGAATGGGACCAATAACATCTTGGCTTTCATTAACTAAAGCCTAATAAAATATCAGTAAAATCTGTGAATGTGAACTACTATATTAAACATACTTATTAAAAATAATTTTATAAACAGATCGGCTTTATACGATACAATGAATTCCATGCCACTGAGAAGAAATGCAAAATAAAATTACATTAAAAACCTTATTTGAAATTTGAGTTGGTGCATCAATGATGCTACTATATCATTAGGATGGCAAACTGTGTTTCTTCAGATGTTGATCGACCAAAAGTCCCAAGAACCAACACCCTGACCAGGCTAATTTTTCAGAAATCCAGTGTGGTTTAGTGATTAAGATATTAGATTGGGAACATGAGTCCCAGATTCAAATCTACCTTCAACCAGAACAGCTCGCTAGAATTGTCTTTCAGCCCAACCAACCTCATATGGTTGTTGCTACAGGGGAAAAAATGATACATACTGCCTTGAACTCCTGAAGGAAAGGTGGAATTGAAATCTAACTAAAAATAAATATCTGAAGAAGCACAGATGGACCGGATCCCTAAGTAGATTTTAAATTTCAGCATAATAAAAATCATGACAGAAGCCATTATTAATATTACCTGAACTATAGCAAAGTTTAAAAGAAGATTTGATTTTGATTATTATAAATGTCAATTTAAAATGCTTTAAAATCCCCGAAGTAATTTGGAATAGAGTATTTATAAATTTTGCAATAAACATTTTAATAATCTGTTGCCCTACACTTAGGGCAAATTCAGTATAATTCTCCAGAGAACAATTAAATATTCTATGATGCTTTATATATGTAATGATAAGAAGGTAACAATTAAAAAATCTGCCTCAATATAGCTGTTTTTCTTACTCTTTATTACCATAATAATACACCATTTTCTATATGTATTACCAATAAGATATTAGATTTGATAAATTAAATAATATGTATATTAAAATGCTTAAATTAAATATTTAAAACAATATTTAAATATGAAAACAACATGAAAACAAGTCTACAACTCTAAAGATCAAATTGAGAAAAATCATCTTCACTTTTCTTCAAAAAGCCAAATGAAGCAATCTTAGTGTTGATCATGAGTAATTGATAGATTGAGGGCAGTATTGAAGAAACTAGAAAGGGTGAATAGGAGCTTGATGGCTATTGTTAATCATATTCAGAGCAAATAATTATTGGAACCAAGTTAACCAAGTGGCTATGAAAGGTTATGGAGTGGGAGGAGCCCATTACTGAGTCTTTTATTATTATATATGAAAAGAAGAAGAACATCTTCAGTTGGGGATCTGTTGCTGGGGAAAACCCATATTAGGAAAAGATGATGAAGCATTCCACTGGCATCTCTGCGAAAGACATGTCCCATCACAAGCAAAGCTCTTTTCTGTAGAGACATAGGCCATGTCCACCCCCTTACCATCTGTGGCTCTGCATGCTAGAATTAATCTGTTAAATCTTACTTCCATATATATATTCAAATCAATTATGTAATTTAAAAAGTATTGTAAAATGCAACCACAATATGAGAAAGAGACTGTGGTTTGCATTTTGATTATGTTACAACCCTTTTGTAGTAAGAGCAGACAGGAATTCAATTTCTTCTAATCGCCAGCAAATACATTCAATAAACTGCATGGAACTCAAAGAATGGACTGTTTGCCTTCTAAGGCCTTTTGAAATATGCACTTTGCTATGAGGTAACAAAACATCACCAGTTATTGATTTTTGTCTCTATTCGGTGCCCCCAATACATTGGTACCTGTGCAATGGACAGATGCTTCTGTGTTAGCCAACTCTCTGAAATTTTTGTCTTTTCAGATTGACTTCTTCCGCAAACTTTGCTCTGTGATTTACTCAGAAATTTAGTAGTAGTTCCTGGAAAAGACTTATTTGAAAAATGAAAAAAATCCAAGTGAATGAATGAAATTTTTAGCAATCAAAAATCAAGCATACCCATACAAAGAATACCATACTATGTATGTATGTATTTTACTTTCAAATATTAGTTCAAATTAGGAAACTACAATATATTGTGGGTTCCATTTAATTTTTATCATAGGTCTTTTTAAAAAGTCCTTAAAATGAAAAGCAGCATATGTGGATAATCAAAGAATCTCTGCTCATAATGGAAGGAAAGCAAGCATAAAAATAAATGAAATACTCAGCATGTAATTGAATATTGAGCAAGGAGTAAGACAGATAGGTGGGGTCTTCTTAGTTGCTTAATATATTTATGGACAAATGTATAAAAATGTTTGTGGTGGTGTTAAAGGTTATTTTGGTTGGGGGGATGTGAACATGCACATATTTTTATTATGCAGAAAATGCTATTTTATTGGTTAAGAACCAAATGTTTTGCAGCGAATGTCAGATAAACAGTAATATACACTGAAAACACAGATCTGAAAATTATTATATCAAAGAACAATGAATTAACAACTGCAAATTATAATAGAATGTGAAAAATTATGGGAAGTAAATGAATGTGTATATCTTAACAGAAAGAAAAGGAGAAAATGGATGTTTAAATACAAATAGAAAGATTGTAGTAGATAATACATGCTTTGCAATAAGGAATGAATGTTTGTCAAAGAAGCTTGTGCCCACTTTGTTTTAAGGAAGTGAGAGTCAATATATCAAGGAGAGATAAAAGTAAATAGAATATAATAGGAATAATTTGAAAAAGGATGCTGAATGAATGTTGACTGAATAAAAAAGCAAAGGACAGGACTGAAAGAAGTATTTACTATATGTTGACATAATTTGGTCATAGAGAGAATGAATGAGGATCAAATTGCAAAACACAAATATGAATAAATGGATTAGGAAGCGGAAGACCAAAAAAAAGTCATGGTTGCACTGAGTTCATGAGATCTTCAAAAACAGAGAGAACTCTAAGGAATGTGGAGAAAGCAAAGGTAATTTGCAATGGATAAAAAAGGATAAAATATAATAAATGAAGCTAGTGTAAAAACTCAGCTTTTGTTTTGTCTCATCTCTTCCTTTCCTTTAGGTCACTACATTTTGTTCTTTTACTGCACACTGAATAATTATAATTACCTTCAAAAGAAATACATCATAGCTATATATATGTACTGTCCTGAAATTTGGGCACCACATTTGGCTTCAATCCGCATTTTAATAGTAACCTATGTGATCTTTCTTTCGCATAAAATAACACAAAACAAGACCAAACTGACCATACAATGCAGATAAAGAAAATGCAGCATATTTATTTTAAAATGCTTTTCTTCTGGACTTGATGAGCTATTGTTATCCACATAAAAAAAATTCAATAAATTTAGCAGCGGATGGAGCTGAACATTTGAAGATTTCAAAACTTCACATACCTTTAAAGGTATGACAGTATGGCAAGCCTTATGTTACAGATTGAGACCTGACACATAATGGCTTTTCTAAGGCCATCTGATCTGCTTGTCGGAGTCAGAGTCAAATTAGTTAGTAACCTAGAAAACTATTTGGATGTAATATCAATGGGCCTTAATGCAAGATAAAGTTAAGTTTGTATCCTTAGTCATACTTTTCCCCATTAAGAACATTTAAAAATGAAAATGTATTTCACTTAAATTGAAAAAGTATGTATTAGATTAGAACTTTTATGATTATTAACTAGATTTTAAAAAAATATCTCTAAGATGAAACTCCGCTTTTACTGTTGTAAATTTCTACCATTAAAATATTTATTTGATGATGTTGTACTTGAAAATGTTGATATATTCACAACCAAACCTACTTGCTTCAGATCTGGCATCAACTGTTCCATTTGAGTTCTTGGGCAACGAAGTCTTAACAGCCACTCCAAGTCTGTACTTTCCTGCCTTGGCACTCTTGTATAATCCTAATATTAGAATGTTAAAATAGGTTGTGTTTGTTGCTTTGTGTTCTTAGAAAAGAATCTGTGCTCTCTATATTTTCACACACAACTTATCAAACTATCAACTTTCAGTAATTCACTGTTAAAATGAAGCTCTAAAGCAAATTAATGGTGAGGGTTACCAGAATGTTGATATGCACAGAAAGAACTTTTCCAGTGTTATGTCATAACTAGTATTGTGATATATTGTTAAATGATGTGGCCTACTAAAAACAAATGGGGGGCGGGGGGCTATGTTGAAAGCTAATACAACAGCTATTAACACCAAGCTAAGAAATCAGAAAAAGTTAACTACACAAATGAAATTTATTCAACAGGAAAAGGCATTTTTCTATAAAATAGGTATTTTTGAAGTGTATTTGGAGGTGGCCATCTTTTTTCCTAGATGGGGCAGATATTTAAACAGCATGCTATGATTAAAACAGCAGATATTATTGAAAGAGATCATGTTTTTTTTAATCCCTGCAAATGAGTGTTTAAAAATGGTTGGTTATACGTTAGAGGCAGTTACATGAGATAGATTGTAA